AAAGAGAAAAAAAACCCCTGTTTTTAATATGAAGAAGAAAGAGACACTTTACTGTGGCAGAAAATGGCTTTTTTCTCTATTTGTACAGTGAGTAAATACTTTAAAATTTATCTACAATATGAGGATACAAGCAGTAGCACAGTATGTGTTTCTGAGAGCTGAGGATTCATGATACCTGAGGATTCATCCTGCTGCTGGAGAGGCTCCTGCTCACTGTTCTGGTTTGGCCATGTGGCCACTGGAATTAGGGCTGACTACTTGAGAGTTACCCCCAGGCTGGATTTATCCTGCTCTATGGCTGTCTGTGGCACAAGTTCTGCTGCTGTAGGAGATGTAGGAGTTGTTATGGCCATGTTTAATGGGTGTGGTAAAGTCATCGAGATATTTTCTGCTCTACACTTAGTTCTGCATACTGTGTAAGCAAGCAGTGGGAATAGCATTCCCACCTCTCTTGTACTGTGTACTGCTGCTTGCATGCTTCTCTTTCCAAGGAGAGGTTATTCCCACTTCTTTGAGCTCTACTAAATTTGTTTCTGTAAATAAGCAGCAGAAGAATTTTCTGTAAAGCTCATTGCTAGGCACATCTGCATTAGATAGTCTGAGGGGCTTCCTTGAACAACTCTCTTCTGGTTTTCCACGATGGGAAAGTCCAGGCAGTCCACATCACCTGTAGAATCACATTTGTCTATATAAAATGTCTATACATTTCCAACTAGGCTGTCAGTCTTGATGGCCAGTGAGGCAGCAGGCTGTGAGACTGCCTCAGCACGTTTTTTGCATCCCTCTTTTGGAAGGGGTTAAAAAAGCAGCCATGGGGCAACTTACTGAGTTGCTGCAATCATACAGATATTTTACCTATTTTCAGATATGTGCTATGGTATGGCAATGCTTGAAGTAGTGAAGCAAGGAGTTAATGCTAAGTTTGAGCCTGAATCTGCTGGCAGGGAAGGGGGTTGGTTCTCTTTTGTAATCTGGAATCTTAATACCCCTTTTCAAAGATAATTTCTTTCTAAAGCATTCCCTGACTATTGCCTTTGTTATCCAGGGCTGAGGCCTATGTGATTTCATTGATATTTCATAATGACCTGACTGACAGTGCTAGGAATTGGGCTTCTGCAGCCTTAGTACAGTAGAAACTGCACAATAGTTTCTTTTCATTAATGAAAGAAGAAATCTCTTGTGCTTATGACTGTGGTGTCTGGTTTTGGAATACCTCCAACTTATCTGCATGCCCTAGCTAGCCTGGTAGATACATTTGTGCCTTGTGCTATTCTTAGAACTCCTTCTGAGATTCTCTTCTTGATACTGTAAGTGAAATAAAAGAAGTATGATTAGTTCCCAGCCTGCTCAATTCTCTTAAAAGTTGTTGGCTGCACCTCTTGTGTCTGAGGTCTCTCTTCTTAAGTTTTATATTTTCTAATGGGGATTTACTGTCACAGGGCAAGATGCCAGTTTTACCACTTTCAGAGGCTGAATTCTAGAAAATCATTGGAGCCTGACACCACTCACTCTCAGCCTTTGCCACCAAATTTGTCAGTATTTTTCTGGTTTTAGCATTCATACTCAAAGAAAAATGTTAGTCCAGCTGAGGCTGAACATTTCAGGGATTTTGAAGACCGGGTTAGTGGCAAGCAGAATCACAGCAGTACCTGACGTCTGTTTTGTTTGTCATTGCCTAGCTTGGCACAGTGCTCAGTGGAACAGGCTGCTCTGCTGTTGGGCTGGAGGGATTTGCCAGGTGGGTGTGGGGTGCTGGAGAGGGGATAGGGATGTTGGAATTGGAGTGCCTGATTTTAGGTTGGAATTGCCTGCTTTTGCAATCCTGTCATCATCTGAGCTCCTGTTTCTAGAGATCTAGTGGCCAGTGGGGTATTTTTGGTGGATAGTGTTGTCTTTCCCCCACTATTTGCTTTTGTGCTTTAGCCCTTGCAAGGATGTCCTGGTTTATGTGAAACAAGAAGCAGTGGTTTGCTGTGTTGCAAATCCAGTGTCTGGCTCCAGTTGACCTACCTTTACAATTTATGTGTCTTGGTTACAAGTTCCCATAGCCCAGTTCCTCTTGTTTCTTGGGAAAGAGTTTTCTGATGTTATTTTAAGGGGGGAGGACAGTGAAGTTATGAAGAGCTTTATGTTTAAAATTAATAATTTACTGTCACCTCTGGACCCTAGTTTTTTGAGAAGCTCATACTTACTCTTATAAATATGAACCAAGCTCCTGCCTTAATGCATCAATCCCATTGAGTGCCTACTTTTATGCTTACTGGAGTAAATAACTATAGTGGAAAGGTAAAATGTCATCAGGACTTATTCAGCAGTGTCAATACCCATGACAAATGAATAAGAATCAAGTCAATAGTAGTTTTAAAAGACCTGTTAGTGACTGTCAGATTGAAATGGTTTTTCTGTTATTTAGATTTTCTGAGGCAATTTATATAAATAAGGCAAGTCTTGAATATCATCTATGTGCCTGAGTTATTGTATGAAAACTGAATATAGCATGAAAATATGCTCCATGTTTACTTCTTTTTGGTTTGGGGGACGTAAAGAAGCAATATCAAAGGTAACAGCTGTATTTTGAGGTGTGTTGCCTATGGATGTTTTCTGGCCTCTGATTACATAGTAACAAAACAAAACCACATTTTTTCCCAGAATTCAAGCAGGAACAAACAATTTCCTCTTTCCCTTTTCTCAACTGTTACTATTGACAGTAAGATCTTTGCAATGAATAGCAGCTTTGGTAGTGCTTGCTTTTGGAATGAGGCACCAAGTAATAAATGACTGGTAGCAAGGATAGCCTTGCAAATACATTTTGCAGAGGAAAGGCATTCAGCATTTTTTTAGCTTAACTATCACTTTTCTGAGTGTTATCATTTTTCCTTCTAAAAAATCAAAGAGTCAGTGTAAGCAAGCTTGTATAATAGGGCTATTCAGCCAGAAAATGCTATGCAAGTGTGGGTGTATGGAATACTGAAGTCTCCTCCACACTGTGTCTAGGTTTTTGCTTTCTGCTGTAGGATTGAGAAGGTTCATGGATGACTCTGCAGGATGGCTGCAGCCAGCTGACCACCTGTGACATGTAGGGGGATGAGGCTGCAGAGCTGGGGCCTGACAGCTGCTCTGGTGTTGTCTTCCCTTGCTGCTCCAGCTCCCCCTCTGCACATCCAGCAAATAGAGTTATTCTCTGTTCACACACATGTGTCAGGAGCTTATCCAAACTGCACTGACCTGAAGCTCTGAAATGAAATTGTGCAGAATGTCAGAAATGAGATTTGTTAGCTGACAGCTCAGAAGTAGGAGTTTTGATGAGAAATGTCAGTTATGGCACGGCTTGGTTACACAATGCAGCAAAGGGTGAACTGTGTGAAGAGTTTCTATTAGTCAGATCTTACCTCCTGGCCAGTGCCAAATGTTGTTGCACCTTGATAGATGAGGAATTTGCCTCTACAAAATCACAGTGTATTACTGTATCAGCAATTTGGTCAAACATTAGGGATGTTCTCCTACAAATACAGCAGGTATTTGTCCCTGACAGGATCTTCTTGCCTAAGCCTCTCCTTGACTGAAAGAGTTCACTGCCTCTCTGCATTGTGGTGTTTTGGTTTTGGTTTTGTTTAGTTTTGACCTATTTGCACACTTTACCTAATGAAGATGCCAAGCTCATTTCTTGTACCCCTCTTGCATGATCAAAGTGAAGGACTCTGAAAATCCCTTTTCTGACCAAAGACAGTCTATTACACATTTTAATTGCATGCTAGAGGAACTATTACTGTAAAAATCATTGCTCAAGACTGGAGGCTGAAGATGATCATGCTGTGTAATCCTTAAAGGCAGAAAGAAAGTTTAGGATAAACCCAAAGCTTCTTGATGCTCTGATAATTTTGGATTGATTTCTTTGGCTTTAGATTTTAATATAGACACAGCCAGTCAAACAAGGTGAATAACTTTTAGTCCACAGGTCCGTTCTGATGATCCTATTTACTTCGATATACCTGATCAGATATTCCTCCAAAAAACTGTTGCAGATTACTTCCTGAAAGGAAAGATGTTACAACAGGAATGCTGGACCCTAAGAGATGCCTCATAAATACAGATGACTTTAGGTTTCTCAAAAGCAAATTCTGCATGAAAAGCTTTATGTGAACTCAACAGTCAAATGTAAAGTCCATTTTTTGGTTTGCACAAACCAATGATGGATTGAGCTCTCATCCGTGCTGCCTGGGAAAACAGTGCTTGTTTTGAAGGCAAGGGCTTGTTTTGAAGGCAAGTAAAGCATGTATTTGAGAAGTAACATAATTTATTTCTTCCTTGCAGTTACAATGACTTCTCTGCAGCCTTCCCGTATATTTTTGACTTGTCAGAGTACATTCACAGACAACTTATTAAAGTAGTCCATTTAAAATAGTAAAAACACCAGTTTAAGCACCAGCAATAGCCATGTTTTATTTCCATGATTGTTTATCAAAGTGGTTTATTACACTACTGAATCTTTTCAAGGCTTGTTTTTTTTCCCCCTCTTTCTACCAGTTGTCTTTGTGTTGGGGGCAGCTGCAGGGAAGGCAGCAAGGGAGAGGAGGAAGCCCTTTGATGTATCTTGTCCCAGTTATCATTGTTACACTGTGTATGCAATTAAGTACTGGAAATGGTGCTTAGGGGAGGTGGTAGAATGGTTTGATGTTGTTACTATGTACAGGTATGATCTGTATTTTATTAATGTAACAGTACAGTCTGTCTCCTGCTCTCTCCCACTGATTCTAGCATTTGGGTCCTGCTTGTCTCTTGGAAGTCTGCAAGCATCAACACATGTGTTTTCCCAGGCTTATGCAGTATAAGGATGTGAAGGTTCAAACATGACATGTTTAAAATAGTTCCTTGTTCATTCACAAAACACAGACCTTTAAAATAACATGTGACCTTTCTGTACATTGAAGTCTGATGTTACTTCAGTCCCAGCAATAGATGAAGTGATTGTTTAACTTTCTCTCTTCCTGCTGTCCCTGCAGTGCACGTATATTGAGATTGAGCAGGCGCCGAAGACTCACGCTGTCGTGCTGAGCAGGCCCTCCTGGCTTTGGGGGGCAGAAATGGGAGCTAACGAGCACGGAGTGTGTGTAGCTAATGAAGCTGTAGTGACCAGAGAACCAGCTTCTGAGTCTGAAGCCCTGCTTGGCATGGATCTTGTCAGGTGGGTGTCCTGCTGAGCTGTGACCAGCCTTTCATCGTCAGCCTTAGACAATGCCGGTACCAGGTAACAACTTTGTGATGTTGGCATAAGGAGATTTTAGAACAATTTAAGCAGGCTAGGTAGGGCTCCAGATACAGCTGAGTGAAAATTTAAAGCACCTGCAATCTGAATTTACCTACCAAGAGTGTACCAGTCTGTTGTGGGTTCACTCAATCTACCTTGTCTACCTACCCTACAGTCTAGCAGGCTATTCTGTCAGGGTAAGAGATATGATTGCATTGTTAGTAAGGAGCTCCTAACTAATTTGTAATACCAGATTGCTGGTGTGCTCTTCGTTCTTCTCCACTTTACAACAGCCTACTCTGACCTAAAAATCTTATTCTGGGCTTATAGCCAAGTGTAGGCATAAACAAACTACTATGCCTTACCTCAGCCCATGCATTCCAATGCAAGCCATTGCCCTTATTCAAATGCTGGCACACAAACTCCCGTGAGCCTGTTCATTGACAACTCTCTGCCCAAAAGGCTTGTGCTGCACTGTAAGCCTCAGCCTGCATGCTGGTCTTGTAGTGAGGAGAATTTAAAGGAGGCTTGGGTTGGGGGATGAAAGCTGAAAGTGAAAGGAGAGGACATGTGAACTTATCACAAAGAGAAATTAGCAAATTGACTGAATTTAAAGACTGAACAGGACAACAGCTGCATATTTAAGTAAATCAGTCTTAGACAAAATAGTCCTGCTGGACTTTGCCCCAGGATACTTAATATGCTGACTGAAGCAGTTACAGGTGAACTCTCATTTTTCTTGAGGACTGATGAAAAATGGGAGAGGTTTTGGCTGACTGGAAAAAGTTAGATGTTGTTAGATGCTTAATATAGTTAAAAAGAGCTGTAAACCAGCTTAACTTCAGTTCCTGAAGGTGAAAAACCTATTAACTCCTTGAAAAATATCAAGGAGTTAATAAATGCACAGTAATAACTGGCAGTCAAGGAAAATCCCATCAAACCATTCTACTTTACTCGTGCAGTGAGTTAACATATTTTATAGATAAAAGGATAGGAAATGGATACCTTGACTTTTTAGAGCATGAGTTAGAATATTAGGTGCATGGCTGCCTGAAACTGTAACCTTAAATGTTCTCTAACATGTCTCAGCAGAAATATGGTGTCTGCTTCCAGCTACCATAAATCAAGAGGAATATGGGCCAATTGGAGAGAATGCAGTGGAAATTGGAAATGTGATCTGAGAGCTTTAGAATCTGACCAATGAGAAAACCATGAGGGAATTTGGGTTATATTTCTCTTTGGTATTTTCTCTGAGCCCTGTAGGAATACTGAAGGAATCTGTGGAGAAGCTATACCTGAGAGAACTAGTAAATTTAATTGCATCTAGGGAGGCTGAGTAGAAGTGAGGGGTTGTTTAAGAAAGTATAGGACAACCTTTTGTGAAGAAAAGGACTTAGATGACTTTCTAAGCTCCACTTTTATTTTTTCCATCCTACTACAGTCCCTTTGAAACTTTAACAAACCATTGGTTTAAGTGTCGAGTTCTACTTATTTCTTACTCAGTTACTGCAGTCTCAAAGGACTGTTTAACATTCAAATATATATATGTTATCCAACAGCTATAGATTTACCCACATTAGCAAATCAGGACATACCAAAGTAAGGAGGCACTGGCCATAAACTACAAGTAATGATCACCTGTAGATGCTGCCCTCTCTCTCTTCCTTCTTACCTGCAGAAGAAATTGTAGCTCAGATGCAGAGCGAGTGTGCCTCAGGCAAGGAGAACCAGAGATGTGCTGTTACCGTCTGCTGCTTGTTCCAGCCTAAGTGATTCTTTCTCTTATTGTGGGGACTTGGCCAGTTGAATTAGGTGTGTTTATTTCATGTCACCTCATAGAACAGAGAGCCATCAAGTAACAAAATACATCTCTGTAGGCTGCAGGGAAGCAGCTGGCGCCAGCTCTGCCTCTTTGAGGGAGTATCACAGCATGTCAGAACACTTGAGTGATTCTTAAGAAACTAATAACGTTTGTGTGATGGACTTCAGGGTTAGAAGTTGGTCCTATTCCATGCAGGCTGGTCCCCATCCCAGTTAATCTAAATGGAGAACATGGACCTAGACACAGCATACAGAAAAACTGAGAAAAAAATGCTCCAGAACAAATTCCTAAGGAACCTTTATTTTTTTCCCGCTAGGGATTTATTCAAAAGCTGATTTTTTGAAAGCTGTATCAGTATTACTGCAATAGTTAGCTTATCAGGATTTTCTTCACATATTCTTCCTAGCTGCCTGCAGTTTCGGGGTATTTTTTTGGGTTTTTTTCTTTTTTTTTTTTGATGCACAATTGCAACTGTAAAGCACCTGTTCACTTATGGAAGCATATTCTTCTGAAGAGTTCATGTACTGTTTTGCTGATAAGTTAGGACAGCATTATCATACAAAAGATAAATATGGAAAAACCTGAATTACACCCTTATTTTGGCATTTTTTTCTTAATTTTAATCCCTATGTGTTTGTATTATTTATTTGTTCTTTTCATCACAGGTGCAATATTTTTTTCAGAGCCACACAGAGATGCCAATCTTGGCAGGGAGTCAAGAATGCTCTTTAAAATGGTATTAATTTGTTTACCAATTTCTTTCCTTAGAGACCTCAAAACTGAATAAAGTAGAATGTCATCAAGTATGTTAGTTAATTTGGAAAGCCTACATTATGTAATTGATAGGTGAAGTTGAAAAAGATAATATTGTTTTGACAATATGACAGCATATTGAAGGTACTTAGGCAGTGGATTGCACTAAATCACTGAAATTTTATTAATAACTAATTCAAGCTCTCATCTGGGGTTGGAATTGCTTCTGGTTTTCCAGCTCACCTTGAAGAGTACTCTGAAGTGTGTTAGTGGGAGGGTTATGCTGTGGTTGTCCAGGACACTGATGTGGAGATAACTGACAAGGCTTAATTTTGTGGAAATGAGTTGTTGTTGTGTAGGATGGGGGGCTTCTTGTGTGTGGTTTTTTTTATTGTTGTTTGTTTTGGTTTTATTTTTTGTTTGTTTGGTTTGGTGGTTTTTTTTTTTTTTTCTTTTTTTCAGTCTCTTGTGACTGACAGATAGGAGCAGCCAAGCAAAAGCAGGGCCTAGACCTCTACTTATTGGAAATAAATATGGCATTAGGGCCATTTATAAAAAAAAGTAATACCTAAAGGATTCTTCTTCAGCCTGAATCCCTGCTGTGGTTTGGAAAGCTAGACTGTAACCATCTCAAATGGAACATTTCAGGGAGACATTATTAAAGTTTTAGCAGGATGTTATGTCTCTTGGCAGGTTTTAATCTAATTATTACCGAATGGTTTTGGCCATTAACTGGGGAGATGGGAGCAGATTATCACTGAATCTCCAAAGGTAGTTTTTCCCAAGGTAGTTTTCAGTCCATTGACTTACCTGTGGCAGGGACTGCTCTTAGGGAATAAATAAAACATGCTTTAGGACTGGCTTTTAAATTATGTCTGTGGTATGTGCAAAGACTGGCATAGCTGTATTGGTCTGAAAAAGGAATTGCACCAGTGATGAAAAGAATGAAGGAATATATAAATGCAGAGGGACTTAAAGTGGAGTCACCAGTACAAAACAAGTTTCAGCTAACAAGAAAAGATGAGAAGGAAAGATCCTATAAATGCAAAGTAAGAGGATGATGGGGGAGGAACTGTCACTTTAAGTTAATCCTTAAAATTCTGGTTGGCTCTTGGCTCTTCTTCATCAGTAAGTGATAAATAGATGCTTCTGAGAGAGATGAAAACAGTGCTTTCAATAATTCAGCCTAAAACAAGGCTAATGGTAGCCAAGTATTTAACAAAGCAGAGCCAGTGCAGAGCTCAGGTTGAGAAGTACTGAGATCAACAAATTTATGTTCTAATTATCAGGACCTGATTTGTCTACTGTAGTCTTTAGGAAAGAAACAGGGTAGTATTTTCTTGTCATGTGATTTCAAGAGAAATGGAAAGAGCTAACATAGATAGTACTTATATCTAAAAAAAGTGATTTTCTTGGAACTATCCATCAGTCAAAATTATTTTGTTCATCAAGCAGATAGAGAAAGACAAACACAGAGGAAAATATTAAGGTGACAAAACAACAGAAATAAATTTTTGGACTGATCCAGGTAACTCTCCCAAAGGATAGGGGCATGGATATGCTGTTTTTTGAAACACTGCATTTCCTCATTACCACTAATTGGATTTTGAAACCGGTGAAATTGTTTGCAGGTCTGATTTCAATTTCTGGTTACTGCTTTTGTTGTTGACTCAATTAGGGCTGTAAATTATATCAAGGGATTATTAAATGCCACTTATTCAAGGCAGGATACAGTTGTTCCCTATGGCTTTGTAAAATTTATTACCACACTGCAGTTTACTTTTCCATAAAATACCCTTGCTTTGCTTGAACTTCCTTTAAAAATTCTGTTCTTCCACACATACGGTTGTTCTTCTGACAAAAGCCATATCTTTTATTCAAATAAATTTTTGGGGAAACCTCTGCAGGAACTCTGAAGTGTGACTGTGCACAAAAGCTTGGCTTTACACCATGTGGTTTGCATATAAGGATAATACCTATTTTCCGTGTGGCCAACCAGAGCATTGGGAAAGAAATGTTGTAGAGAGCTTGTATTATTGAATACTCCTTTCCTTTTTTGATAGCTGGTAATATTAATTCACAATTTCCCACCCTTGTACAGAAAAGTAAACTTGGTACAGCTGTTACTTAAAAAAAAAATAAAAATTGCAAATTGTCCTTCAAATGTATTCTGCCTGAGGAGGAGATAAATAGAGCATTGCATGTTTACAGTGCAGCTGAGATCATTGGTTGGTAATTGGACTCTTTTTGAAAAAAACTAAAAGCCAGCTGTGATAGGCTTGAGAGTAAAGTACCAGCATAGAAAATCAAGACTAGAAACAAATAATTCAGCATCTCATCCTTTAATTCTAGTAACTCATTAAAGCAAGAACTCTTATACTAAGCATACCAGACACTTCACTGTTTTAAACCCAAATGAGTGCTGATGTTTAAAGGTAATAACTTAAGGTGTTCTCACTGTTTCATTCCTTTCTGAATCTCTGTTTTACCCTTTTCTTATAGACTTGGCCTAGAAAGAGGTGCAACAGCTAAAGAAGCTTTGGATGTAATAGTTGCTCTGTTGGAAGAGCATGGACAAGGTGGAAATTATTATGAAGATGGGAGTTCATGCCATACTTTCCAAAGTGCATTTTTGATTGTGGACAGAAATGAAGCCTGGATATTGGAGACTTCTGGAAAGTATTGGGCAGCTGAAAAAATCACAGGTTGGTTTAGAACTCACAGCAAATCCTATTAAAAGTAAAGAGTTGTCTTGGAAGAATTGGTCTTAAAGTCAGTAAGTTTAAATAAGAGACTAATGAATGCAAGTGTTTGATTAAATCACTAATTTTAGTTTTCTATATTTGTACTACTCTGCTTTTTAATGTTGATTTGCATTAGCTGATGTGACTTAGCACTTTCTGTGAAGATGGAGATTGTTGCCTTTCTGCATAAACAATGTAATAATCATAATTTTTATATTTGATAAGTGCAATTTCCCAGATTTGTTTTCTGTTTGGAACATGTCAGATGTTTTGATGGAGTTAATGCCCAAATTATTACTTACAAAACTAAAATATTGTGAGGAGAGGATAAGCATTGATAGTTTTGACAAAAGGGCTTTTTTTTAGGTGATAAATTCAATGGGTTGCTGGTGGTGGTTCCTTTTCTGAAATAGATATACTCCCTGTTTCTTAAATGATAGTGCAAAACAATAATTTACTGCTCTTTAACTTGTAAATGGTTTCTTTTATTGTATGTGTGAAGCCAGAGCTGTCAAACTAACTTCTAGAATTCACTGGCTTAGTGGATGAATTTATTTAAAATTTTTCCAGCATATATGGGCTGTCTTAACGTAATATGGTTGTTTAAGGCCTGTATTTAATTTATTCTCATCTTCATTTTGAAGGGATTTTTATTTTCATAACAGTAGAGCTTTTTAAAATGTACTCATGTCTGAATGAAGTGAAAATTCAGAGTATTCAAGAGGACTTTTGTCATCCATGACTTGAGCTGTGACAGATCCTTTCAATTCTCTCCTCATTTCCCCCTAAATGAAAGGTAGGAGATAGCAGATATGGGAAGGAGCAAAGAAATAGCACCAGGCTGTGCAATGTTGTGTGATGAGCTGCTGTCAGTCCCTGCCACCAAATAGGAATCAGTTACCTTCAAGGAGGTGGTATTTTCCCAAGTAAAGCTTGTATTTTAAGGATTCCTACAGGTTATCTGGCATGAACGGATACCAAACATAGAGGAGGGAAGACGGAAAATGCTGCCCTGATAAAACCCCAGTTCTGGAAAGCAGCTGACTCCTGAGGTTCCTGGGATTATGCAGTGACAGCCTGCCTTCTTCTCTTGACCTGCCTGGCTGAAATTTGAAGAACAGTGGGTTCTATTTAGCAGTTTTAGCTGCATCAGCAATAGATAACCTTCACGTCCTTCTTCCCAGCAAATAAACTGTTGCCTTCATCTGCTGCTTGCAGCTTTTTGAAATGATTCTGCAGCTCTGTTCTGGTTTTCACCAGCACATTGCTCTTCAGGAGGTCCCTGTGAGCTGCAGATAAGTACTTTCCATCTCCTGCAGCACGCCAGGAGGAAAGGCTGCTGGCTATGTTAGAACTCTGTATTTCATACTTTTTTCAGGGTGTTCTTAAGTTTTCAAGTGAATGCACAAATGCTGTTAAAATGGGGAATATGTGTCATTCCCCAGTGTGAAGGCATGTTTTTTCCTGACTGTCCTCAGAGTTCTAATATTACTGCTGCAGGACTGTAAAGCTTATAGTGAGTGTTTATCAAGCAACTCTCTGACAATAATTTAAGAATAAACACTTCAAAATCCTTTCTATTAACATTCCTAAACCTCAGTGGAGAAAATTATTTGACTGATAAATCTTATTTTTTTCCGGTGGATCAAACCCACGAAACACTATTTTGCATGGGTTAATAAATGTAATATTTAAAGAGCTCTTAAAGAGTGAATTGCCTAGCTGGACACGAATACACTCATCACTCAAGTCAAGAAAATTCCCTGAAAAGTATGCTGTTTGAAAGTGTGGATCAGAATAAGCTGTCAGTGACCCTAGAGTAAGTCAGAATTGGAGGACAGGGACTTTTTTGCAGAATGATGCACAGAGTTTCCTGAGGTTGCTATCCATTATTTAAATTGCATGCATGAGGCATTACAAAAGCAAGCTTACTTTTTTGGAAAGCAGTATTAAAAACTTCCACGACTACTGATTTTGCTTCTGTCTAAGAAAGGTTTTGTGCCAAATTCCAGAATATGTGTTTATTTTAGTTTATAGTTTTACTTTATCAGCTCTTCCTCTGGCTTCCAATACATTTGCTTTATTCTCTCTAAGGAATATCTGCAGCAACCACTGTCATGCTGTGGATATATGGTTGTAAACACTGCAGTATTTTTGATAAAAGGAACTTAAAGAACTGATAAGTATTCTTTGGAGGCTACTTACACATTCTTTTTACTTCATGCAATTTTAAAATTTGAGATAAAAACTTTCTATTTAAACCTGTCTTGCAGCTTACATTGAAGCCATTTCTCAACTGGGAAGCTTAAAGCAATTGTTAAGATTTTAAAAATAATTTTCCAAATTCTTAATTTTGAAGGGCAAGGCAGGTTGATTAAATGCAGCTCTGCTGAAATATATTTTGAAATCAAGTCAGATCTCAAGCCTTCTCGTGCCTGTGGAAAATGCCATTGGAAAAAAAGATTAGGCAGGTGCCTTTGGCATTTGGATGCCACTATTGTTTTGTGGCCAGAATGTGTGAGGTGTGGGTTGTGAAACTGGTCTAAATTTAGATTCTGTCTAAATCCTTCTATTAATCACAAGTGTCAGCAGTGATTGGTAGTTCTCTGTACGTGTAATTATATAGTTACACAGTCATGCCAAATGCACATACTCACCAATGGTTTAATTTATTTCCTAATTGATATGACATTTACCTTCCAGCTTCTCTCAGAAAAACTGTATTAATGCTCTCTTTTAATATGTGGCTCTTTCTAGAGGGAGTGAAATGCATTTGCAATCAGCTTTCATTAACTACAAAAATTGATGCTGAGCATCCTGAACTAAGGAATTATGTGAAAAGTCAAGGCTGGTGGAACGGAGACTCAGACTTCAATTTTTCTGAAGTGTTTTCTCTTGCTGATGACCACTTGGCCTGTTGTTCTGGCAGGGAGAGCCTAGAAAAGCAAGGTGGTAAGTGCTGAACTATCTTTCTGTGGGTACTCTGGGTTTTTTTAGTCACTGCTGCCTCCTTTTCAGGCATTCTGTCCAGAACTACGTGTGACTGAGAACAACTCTACATGTAAACTGTGTAGGAAGGAAAATCAGAACTAAAGATTGTCCCTAAACTTGCCACAATTTAGGATGAAGCCTTTCATGTCACCCTCAAGGTTTCAAAACAGGATTGAAATTACAAAGTAACTTTCTTCAGTGTTCTGATGTGCATGATGTGCCACTGTATTTGTGCTTTCCTGTAATTTTAGTATAGTATATTACCAAAATTATACTATTTAATTAAAAAATGGCCTACATATCAAAGATTGAGCTCAGTGGAATCTGCATTTTTGGGAAAATGTAGATTTTACCTTTTGGGGAAAGTTTCAAGAGCATAGTTTAAGGAAGAGCAGTTGCAAACTGAAGCCCCTTTTTCTTTGCTGAGTAGAACAAAGCTACTGGAACAGACGTTGTGCCTATTCTCTGCAATCAAAGGAAGTGTTTATTTCCAGACCCAAATTTATTACTGACTTTGGTTTGCTGCAGCAAATACCAAAATACCTTTGAAATGGCAGCCTGCAGCAGTGCATGGCTGACATATATCTGCTCTTTCATGCATGAAAAATAGCACAAATTATCATTTTCTAAAAAGCCCTTTACTACAGCTGTGCATTTACTAGACTGTTGGCATTTTCACATGTTGGTACATGTCCTGAGGGGTGTAGAGGTGAGGTATTTGTTGCACTGCAGAGTTCTTGCTAAGGCTGTAGGATTGCAGGGAGTGTGGTTTGTGTCTAAGGCAGACACAGTAACTCTGAAGGACTATAGGTAAAATAACTTAATAAATCTGAATTATAGCACTAAGGGCCCCTACAGGTAAATGGCTATGGCTGAAAATCTTGCAGGCTGCTGAGTCATTCCATGTCTCCTGGTGTGCTGAGGCACCTGTGCATGGATGTTTGAGTCACTGCAGAGTCTGAGAAGGTATGGGGAAGAAGCCTGACCTGCTAGAGGAGCATGTGAGAAAACATGGAGGGTCTGTGGGGGGAAAGATGTGAGAGACACAGGTGGGAAACACAGTGAGAATGGGGGATTCTTGGACATAGGGGTTTGGAGAAAAATCTTGGTGCCTAGGTCTGCTGCTGTAACATTCTGTGACTGCGAGATGATGTTTCAAAATTTTGACAGAGAGAGATAATGGAAATTGAGAAGTGGAAGATCAGGGTGCTCTCATTCTGCCCTGCATGGGTAGAGGAAAATGGATGTTCTATGTAAGTAGTCTGTTCCCACCGACTGCTAAAGCAGTATTACAGCCTTCTTCCTGAAAAGTATCTTTTTAATAGCACTTCTCCCTACCAGGCAATTGCCATGCCTAATTAATGCTTCCTACTGTTCTCATTTACTAGCTAGGCACGCTCTTTCTGAATGTTCATTGCTTAAGTAGAAATTATTATCTGGGATTTGTGACATTCCCATGTCAAGTGTCAGTGGCCATTTTAGGCCAAAACTTGTTCAGGCTAAAATCCTTACCTGGGCTCCAAGCCATTGAACACTGAGGAATTTTTTCCCCCCCTCCATATAGGTGACGTTTCTGCACAAGCTATGATTGATGTCCTGCGTGACAAGGATAGTGGTGTCTGTGTGGACTCTGAATCTTTCCTTACTACAGCTAGCATAGTGTCTGTTCTGCCTCAGGACCCTAGTTTTCCCTGTATTCATTACTTCACTGGCACGCCAGACCCTTCAAGGTAAGCCACAGCACTGGGGTCCCTGGGGTGCAGAGCAGGTGATGGGTTGAAAGGTGATGAACAAACCCTGCCACCCAAACTGGAACCTACTTCAAGAGCAAGTTCTAACCACAAATGCAGTCAGTGCTCTGTGATGTGCAATCTGACAGTCCTGTGTTACCGAGCTTCTAGGGGAAATTCAGTTTAGAGAGGAGCCAGGAATTCCAGTGTAGTTGCTTTCCAGTTGGAAAGTTAAGATTATGAAGTTGGGGACTTCCTGAGTCATTTCTTTTGAACAGGTGGGTGCAAAACTGAAACAAATGAAGTGTCTTAACTATCAAAGAGAGTTTGTGTACTCTAGGTATATTCATATGACATCAAAATGTTAACACAGCAAAACATTTGCAAGTTTCTGCGATCCCAAGCATGTTTTTTATTGGGGGGACAATTTCCAGTTGGTTTACATGGTGTTCTCTCTAGCTGAAAGTAACTGAGGAGATCAGGGAACTCACAGGCCAGATCATTAAAAAACTAATGATTTATCTTGTGTTTTAAACAGAATCCACCTGGGATTCACAGAAATTAAACTAAACCACTTGCAGTTATTCATGAGATCAGCCTGAGGTAAAGATTGCATTGAGGTGAAGAGGTTATGGGGGGAAGAAATGATGTCCTTGAACAGCTGACAGTCATTCATGTAAGAGGATGGTAGTAATCATTAGGTTTTACTGAGAGCTGTGCAAGACATCTTGCAAAGAGTCCAAAGGGACTTTCCACCTCCTTTGCATTATGCAACTCAGCCTTGCAGGGTTAAGTGCCAATTTTAAACTTGCTTACCCAAATCTTTCTTTAACTTGATGCAAATCCTTTGCGATAAAAAGGAGCAAGGCTTAAAATTATTTTGTTGGGATTTCTGTCCTTTTGAAGGTGGAAAACCTGGCTTAAAAGCCTTGTTTAGAGACCTTTCTTGCTTTATTCTAGATTGTAATGCATTAAGAAATAATTATTTTAAATGCAGCTAGTGAGTCATGTAAATTCTTAGTCAGCAAGGCTTCATGACAGTGATGGAAAGGGTAGCAGCACTGAACCTGCTGACTGTACCCAGGCAGTGGTTTTTAATTGTGTGTTGCAGAAGTCTTGCACTTTTGGCAGGTTCTTCACTGCAGAATGCAGGGTGCTTTGTTGTTCTGTATCTAAAGAGAAGGAAGGCAGTTGTTCCATGCACTTGCCAAAACCTCCTATCAGCTTCTCAGGAATGAAAATTCTGTATTGATGGGGCTTTTTTGTTTGTCTCTCTCTGGAGTTTAGATCCAAACTCAGTGTTAAAGTTGTTTGAGAAATGTCGCAATGTTGGTAGCCATGTCTTCCCCCACCTCTTGAAGTAAAATTCTAAAGTGCTGCTGTTTATATGTAAAATCCTCTGATATTGAGCAAGATGTGTAATCTTCCCTGCTCCATACAAGTGTTTCTTCTGATTTTAATAAAAATGAAATCTGGAAGGAGGAGGAGAGATGATAGTGAGAACAGAGGAGAAAAAGTGATATGAGGCCGAATGTTGAGATTTTTTACAAAAAACTTGGAGGAGAAAATCAGTGCCGCTCTTCTAAAGAAGTGGCGGAACTGGCATGAGGACACCAGAGAATCTTATAGGTAAAAGGGATAATAAGGTTTTACAATGATTGCCAAACCCAGTTCTATTAAAGCACATAGATTTCTTTTGCTTGTGACCATTTCCAAGTCTCTAACCTTACCCATTCCTAGTGTAGATGAATTACCTATGCTGCTCTGTAACTGTTGCTTCAAAATAGCCTGGTGAACATTTCAGTAACATATATGAGATCTCTCTTATTGCTGCAAGCAGTAATTCTCATTTCTTTCAGGTCCATATTTAAACCCTTTATTTTTGTTGATGATGTAAAATTAGTACCAAAAGTGCAGTCTCCTTCTTTTGGCAATGATGATCCTGCTAAAAAGATACCTCGATTCCAGGAGAAACCTGATCGTAGGCATGAATTGTACAAGGCACATGAATGGGCCCGATCTCTCCTGGAGAACGATCAGGTAAGAGCTGTGGGACCTGGAATTAAAAAACTGAAGGCAATGTAAATTCCTAACTCCAGAACTTAGTTCACAGTCACTCACTGAAAAACATTCTCTGAATATTCTTAGAACCCTTGTGAGTTTAGCTTGAATAATGATGCCCTCTGAAGGACAAACTTAGTTTTTGTTATCCTGAGAGTGTTGCTCTGTTCCATTACTTTTACAAAATGAACAAAAAGTCAAACTGTTAAACTGATTATCTTGTTCAATCCCCACTGTGCATATAATCTTTTCAGTGATTAGAACACTGGCTGCTAGTGTAACATGGTATCAGAATTATGAGCTAGGGTGAGGGCAGGAGTGTTGTAATTTAAATTATATGGTGGATTACGAACTACATAGTTTGGAAAGGTATTTTTCTTGAAGGAGTAATGTGTATGTGACAGTTTTTCAAGTCTTGTGTTTTGTAATGCACTTCTGTTAATTTTTGTGATTTAACTGAAAATGCCATGTGAGAAGAGACAACACTTTGCAGTGCCATGCAGTACAGACCCAAGGGCTGAAAACCTTCCATTCTAAAATCTCTTTTAGAGATTTTTAGAGATTTTTTGTGGAAGATCTCTTATGCAAATAATTTTGGAATCAGTAAAGTCAGGAAGGGGATTAATCTATATAATTTTTCCAAATGGTTGAGATACAACAACTGGTGTCATTAGGCAGGTAGTTCAATAACTTCTCAACCTTTGCAATTACAACTACGGCAGTAAACTGGACAAGTGGTTTTAAGGAAGTGAAACAGAGGGAAAGGTCACCAAGGCACAGCTGTCAGGCTTTTATTGGTATTCAGCCAATTTGTAGAAGACCCTCACATAGTTGTGTTGAACTTCCACAGAGGATTTGCTTTTCTACAATTTTCCTCTGTGTGTATTGGCATGGGTCAGAGTCTTGCTACAATCTACTAACATTCAGGCCTACCCATTATTGATTAAGGAAGCTATGATAACCTTTGCTAGTACAAATATTATTTAAATGCAGTTTAGGCTAGAGTTTTAATTTCTTGGAATGGTGTAATTTAAAATTTGTGGTTTCTGCTATCATTGTTTTAATGTGCAGCTGGCTCTCATATCATTATGCAAGATGTTGATCTAGGGGAAGACCTAGAAGAGGCATCTTGTGGACTCTTGCCTGTTAAAATCCCCACAATGTGACACCAACAGTTGCGGTAGAAAAGAAAATGCAGTTTTTACTCAGGCTTCATGCTATAAAAGCTGCCCATCTGAGAGCCCATCTAAACCTTAGATGAGATGCTCTACTCTTTCTGGACAAAATGCTGAGAAAAATCCTGAAAAGCTCAGAACCACCACTCATTCTAAATGACTTTTTTTTCCCCCTGAAACTCATCTTTGAAAGCTAAAGCAAAGCAAGCAGCAATTCTGCATTAAAAAAAAAATTAAAAAAAATAAATTTCTAGAAACACAAAGAACAGTACACAAATGGCACACAAAACCTCCCTGGGATCTGGAGTCTTAATACTGTTACACGACATATCATTTCAGATCTATTCATCATCTTGCAGGTGTTGATTTGAGGGATGCACATGCAAATACCACAACCTGTACAATTCTTAGGGCTTCTAGTCTTCTCATATAGTTCTGTTAGTGGGATCACAAGCTTAAGAACTTGCTGTACTAGCATTATATAATTTTCCTCTATCCATCTTTCACCCTCTTCCTTCTTTGCTTTAAACTTAGCAACTCCTTTTTGGTTATTTTTCTTAGTGCACAAAGTGTCCAGGACTGTTCCTCTTAGTCTTTGGCCATCCAAAATAACTAATAACAGAAATAGTTTGTACTTTAAAAGGCTTTTTTTTTTAAAAAAATATTTGAAAATATCTCTGTAAAAAAGATAAACAGTAAAATGCTTTAGTGAGCCTGTTTGCTGGTTAACTGAGTCTGGTTGTTCCATGCCTTTAGGATAAAGGCCAGAAACTGATGAGGATTATGTTCGACCTTGAAAAACAAGGTTTAGAAGCAATGGAAGATATCCTTTCACGTACAGAGATTCTGGATCCAGCTGAAGTAGTGGATCTTTTCTATGACTGTGTTGACACAGAACTAAAGTTCTTCAAATAAAGTAAGCAAGCAATTCTTTAGGTACTACTCTACCACTAAATGTAAAATGTTGGATGTGATTCTGAACCTCCTCCTCTTTTACACTAAGCTGAGGATGTTAAGAATTGGGTGCAAACCCACCTTCCTACCTGCTCAGCTTGTCTCCAAAGTCCCTTTTCCCTATGCTGCATTGCAGGAGATTTTTTTTTTTCAATTTCACTCTTGCTTGGAATGGATTTTCAACAAATTTTATCTCATTTCAGCTACAGTGGCTATTGTTAGCCTTTTCACTGGAAGACTGCAATGCTCTTCAAGCCTTGAAAGAAAGTCTTCACACTTGTGATTTTGCAGGAAAAAACATTTCTAGAGGAAAAGATATTACTTGCTAGCTGTATCCAGTTAACAAACTGCTTTCCTTTGTCCAATCTTGTGGTGTTCCTGTTTGTGTATGTATATAGTGAAAGGAGAAAGTCACTGACTGGTCCAATTACTGTGTGCATGCTGGCTAATTTAGTACAGAATGTTAAAACATGTATGTTGGGCAACCAATTAAAGTAAATCTTTAACTTCATCAGGCTAATTGCCATATTGTCATTGAAAGCAATCTGGTTTTCCCTCTGTTGCTCAGGACTAGGCTTGCAGCAAAGCTGACTTGCATTTCTCTCTTCTTGCTAATTCATACAGAGTTGAAATCACAGTTTGAGATGGGCAAGAAGGTAAGTCCTGGTTCTTGACCTCGTTGTGCTGGCCTCACATGGCTGTATCTGGTTGCAGTAACTCAGCACCTGACATTATGCCTGTACAAACTATCAGCATTAGGTCCCTAGGTTAAAGTTCTGCCTTCACCCTCAGCTAGCCTGTGTTTGTAGTGCACCTGGCTGCTGCTCCAGAACTGAGTACTGAACTGCAGAGCCAGCCTGGATGCCACAGAGATCTACACATATTGGCTCTTAAGATGCAATTAAGAAGATGTCAGATTTATATACAAGCTACAGATTTGGAATTGTTTAAGGGAATAGATGTTGGACATTGATAAATACCTGGCTATTCTCCATCTTTCTGCCTTTGTACTGCTGAACAGTTCCTAGTAATTTCTGTTGTGAGACACATAGCTGATGAATCCATTAAGTACCAGGAGTTGCTGGTGGGTGTGGCAATCCAAGTGGTTAGGCTCAGAAATGGCTGTCCTACGCTTCCTTACATTAAGTGCAGTGCTGCAACGTGCTTCCCTTCCTCCAGAGTCCTACAGGCAGACCTGCTTTTCATTGTATTTTCTTCTTGTGGAAGTGAGATAGGGCAAACACTGAGAATTAAACCAGTAAACACTGTGTCCGGTGAAGATGCTTGGTGGGTTTTTTTTTCATACAGGAAGTTGAAAGAAGACATCCATGCCTTTAGTAAGTGGAAGTTAACACAGGGAATTAAAATCCTTCACTGTTTGGGAAAGTGGATGGTGAAGAACTACAGGCTTCTGTACTGAGGATGTAAAAGCTCCTTAGAAAGCAGAAACACCTCCAGCTGAAACTGTAACAATTGTGCATCAGGGAAATAGTCATTGCCCTATCGGCATATTACATTCTCAGGATTATTTAAATGAAATTGTTCTGTTCAGACTCATTACTTTGGTATTGCCTTATATGACAAATGGCAATTGAACAAGAAAACATGGGGCCTTTTCACTTACAGAAAACAAGGAAGAATATATTTTCTCTTATGGCTTACCTAATAATCTCCCATTCACAATAAAACCCTTCCATGCTGTCTATCATAGGACCAACTCCTGTGTCTAAGTATTTTAAGGTGTAGACAATAGGAGAAGAAAATATTCAAGTAGACCCTGAAATTTAGCTTCTCTGTATGGTAACCAGAGGAGGGGCTGCCTGCAAGAGCCACACTTGAGTTCAGAGAATGTTGTGGGGGGACTGAAGCCCACTGAAAGAGAAGCGTGCTTTTTCCAGCTGCCCATAAGTGAAATAAATGGATTTCCCATGAAATTGCAACTCCTGCTAGGACCAGCTGGGTATTTCTGAAGAACCAGGGAACAGGGATAAAATGAGTTGCTCCAGCCAGAGGACAAATACTAGGATATACCACTTCTCACAGGTATTTTGCGCAACTTGAATCTCTAATCTTTGAGAACTGGGAGGGAGGCAAGATGAAAGAAGTGTGTGTTCCTGTTGAAAACATCATAATCTTATTTGTCTGTTTCTTAAGAAAGAAGAAAGCAGCACTTGCAATTATCTCATGGGCATTTATGTCCTTATTTGGAACTGCTTATATGACAGAATGAATAAATTGTTTTGAGCACAGTGATCAGGTAGTAATTCTCTAATAGAATGTTGATTTTGCTTACAAGTATAGTGCATTTAAAAACAAGAAACACTGTGGTACAACAACATGGTTGGGTGCAGTCAGTAGAAACCAGAGCAACTGCACAGTTTTAATATTTGCAGTGGTCTTGAACAGAGGTGTATCTCAGTGGAAGGACACTGGGGACTTGTGGGATCAGGTGCCTCAGGGTGACTGTATCTCCAGAGGCTTCAATGGATCTTGAATGACAAATAAATGGAAACATTTCAGAAATACTAACAAATAGGCACAGGATTTCTAGTTTCATCCCTGAAAGATGTTTATTTCTAAAATACCCAAACTGTAATAAAAATGGAGTAAAATTTTCTTCTCCTTTATATATATATGCTGGCAGGTAGTCTAGCATTAGGCAGTTTTAAAATCCTTAGGAAGGTACTTACTACAGAGCAGTACACGAATTTCAGAATAAATGAGAGCCAACAATATGCCACTTTTATAGTACCATAACAAAATAGTTTTTAAAACAGTATTGAACTTTTCCAGTTGTTTGAGAAGCAATGTAGATGTTACTATATTCATGCACAGTCATCAAGTAACTACAAAAAGTGCCAGTATTGGTCAAAGCATCACCACTTTTTTTTCTTTTTTCTTTTCACATGATGTACAGCAAGTTATCATAATAGGCTAGAAAAAGACTAATGTTGCTTTCTTGGAGTTCTGTGGGTGAAGAGCTTCTTAACCCTACACTATCTTACACCATGAATGTGCATGTGTGTGGGAATGTTCTTACAGCTTAACTGAGCTGCTGTAAGAACAAAGAGAAAAGCAGGGATGAAAAGATGCAGTTACCTGTCTTTTCCAAATAGTTTTGTTCAAAGGCAACAGCATGGGGAAAGATCATCAGTGATCTATAACATTATTACACCTCTAACTGAGGGGAATTTATGGCAATTATATAAATTAATGCCATAACTGTAATAGCCTGGCTGTTAGCACCAGACTCACCCTGGAACAGCAGTATTTTTTTTCAGGCTGGTGAATCATGGAATCATTTACATTGGAAAACAACTCCTGAGATCATCTAATCCAACCCTTAACCCAGCACTGCCAAGTCCACCACTAAGCCATGTGTCCCTGAATGCCACATCTACAGGTATTTTACAATACCTCTTTCTGTATGTATTAAATGGTGACTTCACCACTTACCTGAGGAGCCTGTTCCATGCCTGACCACCCTTTTGGTGAAGATGTTTTTCCTTATACAGAATCTCCCCTGGCACAGCTTGAGGGTATTTCCTCTTGTCCTGTGCCTTGTAACTTGAGAGAAGTGACTGACCCTTACATTGGTAGTGTGTCCTTTTGGGTTATAGAGAGTGTTAATGTCCCCTCTGAACCTCCTCAAGCCAGGATGTTGTTGGCTTTCTTGACCACCTGAGGACACACTGGCTCCTATTCAGCATGTTTAGCCACTGTCAGCCAGCACACCTAGGTGCTTTAGTGGCAGGCAGATTTCCAGCTGCTCTGCTCTTCCCCTGGTGCCTTGGGTTGTTGTAACCCAGGTCTAGGAACTCAGAAAGGCTGTAAAAAGGGGAATCAAAGGGTGGTTGGGATTGAAAGGGATGGCTACAGGTCATCTGACCCAACACCCCTGGCCAAGCAGGGTCACCTAGTGCCAGTTGCTGAGGACAAAGTCCAGATGGCTTTTGAGTACCTTAAGGAGTGAAACTCTACAAGGTCTACAAGGGCAACCTGTTCTAAGGCTCAGTTACCCCCACAGTCAAAATTTGTTTCCTGAAGTTCTGACAACACCTGCGTTGCAGTTGCCCATTTCCTCTGGTCCTGTCACTGGACACCCCTGAAAAGAGTCTGGCTCCATCTTTATACCCTCCCTTCGAATATTTATATATATTAGAGAGATCCCCTCTGAGCCTTCTCTTTTTTAGGCCCATCAGTCCCAGCTCTCTCAGCCTTCCCTCACAGAAGCGATGCTCCAGTCACTTCCAGTCCACCTTTGTAGGACTCTCTTTAGCATGGCCATGTCATCCTTTCACAGGGGAGCCCAGAATGTGGACACAGCACATGGGGCCATATACCAGGTGTAGCCTCACTAGCAGAGGGGAAGAATCACCTCCCTGACCTGGCACCACTCCTCCTAATGCAGTGATTGCACAAGAATAAGGGTAATTCTTGCTAGAAATAGACATCTTAGGACCTGATCTGAACATCTGTGATCCAAAGACCCTACTCAAGGTCTGAATATTCAAAGCAGTAATTCAAGTCCTGTCTGCTGCTAGGCTGCTACTTTTCCCAACCAACTGTATTTGAGACAATGACCACTTTTGGGGCTGAGTGTTCTACATGCTGTGTTTTGGACAATGAACCTTCACTGCTGGCAAACAGTAGTAGCTCTAGTTGCCTGTTTAAAATGTAGGTTTTGGACCCCTCATCCAAAGGCCTTGTAGTTGCTGGGTAAAGGCAGTCTATCACAGAAATGGCAAATATCCACTTTGCCTGCAGGAAAAGACAGGACACTCATCATGTGTATTCACACATGCCATTTCTTTTTCTTGCTTACAATAGAGCAACTTCCTTTTCCTCTGCTTTGGAAAGGTTCTGTCATCTCTGTCAAGTCCATGACCACCCTACCCAGCTGAGCTTCTTCAGACACTATCCTATAAGGATATGTAATCATTAGGAGGTAGGTTCATTAGCAGCCACAGCTCCTTGGCATCTCTTCATGCTTCATGAGAAAAGGACTGTGGGCCCATCTCTTCATAAAAGTGACAGCCTGCTGCAATCTGAGGCCAGGCAGAATGGAAGAAGTGAAGAAACATAAAAACAGACTAAAGATAGCATATTAGTTTGACAGTTCATTGAAAAAATATCTGAATAATAACTGGAGAATTTCCAAAAATTATGATGGAAGAGGAAGAAAGAACTACAGGCACGTAGCACAAACATTCTGAGGTAACATTGTCAGCATGGTAAGAATGAGAACTGTTTCAACATTACAAAGAATTTAAATTTTATGCTGCTTTGCTTAAAAAATATTCCCCTATATACAGTAATTTAAAAGCCTGTGCTAACATTCCTGTAGTATGCAGGCCAGTTCAAAAGGTATAATTTATATTGTTTTACAATACAGTTTATAGAAATGTTAATATTGCAGTACTTGTGACTCAAGTACAATCTATCACTTCAACAGGAACCCCTTCTGTTTTATATATTATCTTGATCTTGACTTTTATACTAGTCCAGAGACAATCAGAAGGTTCTTCTCATCTCACGTGTGTTCTTAACGGAGGATTTTTAGAGGGATCTGTAAATAGATAGGACAGAATTTAAATAAGTATTTTGGATACAGTTATATAGCAGGGATGCTGCTACTCCTGATATATACAGACATGTACATATATACATATGTATACCTACACACACACACACACACACACACATATTGCTTGTGCTCTGCAGCCCTTCAGTAAAAAGTCAGAATATACAGCAGACAATTTAGTCTGACTGAGGCTGCTATGAAAAGTCATGCAAAGTACCTTAACATGGAAACAAAACGAAAGGTTAATTAAAAGTTGGAGAGCTAATAATACAGAAAACTGGGTTCTATAAAAAGCAGAATATGGGTGTGAGATCTTTTGACACTTTCAACTACCCATTTTCAAAACTGGATAAGTGAACTGTTCTTACAACAGTGACCTGATTCTAAGTTTCAAAGTTAAGAAGGGAGGAATAAAAAAATAAAGCAAGGTTCAGCCATTTATCACTTTCCTGATGAAGTTCAGGTACTAAGTCTCTTTGTTATTCAGGTAAAACACCATGCATAGGATTTAAATCAAAATATATAATGGAGGACATGGATCAAGTCATTCTCTGTGATTTCACAAGTTAATGAACAAAAAAATCAAACTTAATAGCTGCCCAAGTCTGTTTTACAACATGACTGTTTTTAACATTACAGGCTTTGCAAATTTTGCAATCTAAAAACACAGGCTCCATGTCCAGCCACATAATTTGTTTTTAGCTATGATTCCAAAGTATTTGGAGCTTTTCACTGTATCTTTGGTCCCTGTTGCCACTGTGACAAATCCCATGCCTCTCTGTGCCTATGCTAGCAGCCCAGTTATGCTAATGCTTATTCAGTTCTTTATTTTTCATCCCCATTTTTAAACCTCTTGTTAATGATCAGATCTTTTCATGTTTACACACTTACCTCTGGCTATCTTGCTGGGGTATGTTTTTTGAAATGGTTTGAATTCATCAGGTGGGGGGAAATCTTCCACAGAATGGAAAGTAAATTTTGATTCAAAGTCATCTGGGAAGTTTCAGGGAAATAAACATTAGCTGCTGCTAGAGAGAAACTTAAAAAAAAAAACCCCAAATCCCAACAGTATTGCCACAAGTAATTTCAATTAAAAATGCTGATTTATTTTCCCCTGGAACTGATAGTGGCTCATTCCATATAAACTATCCTGATGAGTCATCCAATTTTTTTGCATTAATTGCAATCACTGCCTGCTGTTAAAACTGAAGTTAAGCTTCTGGCTGCCATTCCAGTTTTCTGAATTGATGGTATTGTGGCAATAGAGGTATTCCTTGGTGGTTTTCAAGACATTTTTAGTTGTAAACAAGAATGAGTGGCCAATTCATCAGACCACAAATATAATTCTTAGTGGTCTTTGCCCTTTAGGAGTGAAGCCTCTAAATGTCCATCATCTGGTTTAATAATGGTAATATAAGCACACTATGGGAACTTTTAATATTTTTAAGTAACTTTGCAGGTAGTGCATGCTTTTCTACTGACTGAATTAAAATCCTTCGTGAAAAAGCCTTAATTTTCTATCATTGTGTAAGGCTGTACAAAAATGTTTATTATACTACCCTGTTATTGCTAGGACAAAGTCTTTGAGTGAGCTTTTGGGGTCTGAGACACACACGGGCTTTTGTAGTAAAATTATTAACTAAGGCAAAGAGATTTAATTTAATGATATTACCAATGATGTGCATATTTCCATTTTTAAGTGGTGTGTACGGGTCATGCGCTGTAGCCCAGGTTGAGACTCCAGACTTGCTTGTAAGTTCAGTTGTTGGGGATCTTGCTGGTGGCTGTGGAGGTGTGACCAGCTTCCCAGCACCAGTTCCTTTAAAAAAACCCAGGAGACCAGCATATAAACATCATCATGGCTTAAACCCGACAGTAAACGACACACAAAAGTGGAGGGAGTGTAGAAAGAATGCAGTATTTAGGGAAAATGTACCTATAGCTGTTGTTTGCCAAGCCTGACCACAGATTTGTAATGTTAAGTATTAAATTCAAGTGACTCTTGGAACTGGCTGGGGTTTTCCATTTCCAGTTCTAAGGGAAGTGTGACATTCTGAAGTGTGGTTTTGTCCCAGTCTGGAAGGGAAGGTTGTCCTTCCATTTTCACAAGAATAAGCAAAGGAAATCAACAAAACAGCCACACGAGGTGGTATGTCAAAAGAAAATGTAAAAATTTAAAAGCTGACAATTTGGCAGCTATGCAATAGAATTACCATTAGTCTTGTGCATTTCACTGAGGAGCTGGTATTCACTTGATGGCAAGGGCCATCAAGGTTTACACCTGGAAGACATACCACAGGAGCTGTGTGAAGGGGAGCGAGCCCAAGGCCTTCATGTTAGCAGCCTTTCAAAACTGCTTATCCTCCTACATAGCAAGGGACAGGCAGGGTAATTTTATGGAAAACGTACAAATGGAACTGCCAGAAGAAAAGAGCACCTTGACATAGTTCACAGAGCATTCTGAGCAGCATTAATCACCACCACAAGGCACCTGATCTGCTGTACTTACACAGCCTTTCCCCTGGCTCTCAAGGGGAACCAGTAATCTTTTTCCTGACATGTGGCTGCTAAAATGCAGGGTACAGAACATTCTCTTTCAGATGTTCCCTGTTAAGTAGCTGTCTCCATTTCTCAAACCCACACAGATCTAGACTCATCTTTTTTATTATTTTCATTACATTAGAGGAGTCAAAAAAAATTTCCTTCTATCATCTACTCAAGGAAATTGTGGATAATACACCTCTTCCCAAGAAGTTGGGAAGTAGTTCAGCCCAACCATCTTCATCACAGGATGCACTGGCTGCTCTTTGTTGATCAGGAGAGGGCTGCAGCCAGATTTGCTTTTGCTTACCTATAGTGGTAGCTGCTCCATTTCTGTTTCATTATCTCCTAGTGTTTCCTAGCTGTTGCCAATATTGCTCCTGCATGGATGGATGCAGGATGTAGAGGGATGTCCTGGGCATTCTGGCACATGAGAAGCTGCTGAGCTGACAGACACCATGGTGTGTACTCTGCTCTACCCTGAGTCTGTCAGGGTACCACCCATCGCACTGCTGGAGACACACCAATGCCAACACAAAAGCAAGAACCAGCCCAGTGGTCCTAAGACTTCGGATGTCGCTTCCAAGAGTGGCAGCTTAAACTATAAGGCATGAGTGCCCAGTAACTGCCTGACATCTCAAAAAGCCAGATGTTTTGGGTGTTCACACCAGCCGTGCAACCTATAGGTATTCCTCCCATGTGTGCTCTTCATCCCTGCCCCTCCGTGCTCTCCAGTCACTGGTGCGATAGAATGGTTTGGGTTGGAACGGGGCCTTGAAGAACTAAATAATCTTCAAGGTCCTGTTCCGACCCAAATAATTCTATGATTTTCCCCACTAGCCGAAGGAAGGGAAAAGCCTCCTTCCTTCAGAGGTGCCGCTCTCACCTGCGCCTCTGCCGGGTCTCTTCTTCCTCGTCTCCACCACGGCTGCGGGCTGAGGGGGGCCGGGGGTGGGTGGGAGCGGCAGCGACTGGATATTGCTCGGCTTGTGGAACTGTGACAGCAAGTGTGGAGACTTGGGGGGCAGCGGAGGGGGCACGTCGGCACCGCTGAAGGCC